AAATTGAGTAAGAATTTAGCAAGGTTCAACTCTTGGATTGCTTCATGTGCATTACCTGCTATACAAAATGTATTCCTTATGGTTGTTTGTAAGGGGGTTTACAAAAAACAATGATCTGTCATTTGCTATGTTTTTTTTTATCTGTGCTACGTTTTGAACTACTTTTTCACATACATAGTTCATGCAGCCAAGCAGCACCTTGATTTTTATCTGTTTTCCAATGACGTCAATGTTGACTTACTGAATGAATATAGCAATTAAAAGAACAAAATATTGTCTTCCAAAATCTATTCCTTTAGTTTGTGGAAGACGTCTAAGGTATATGTAATGGTCTACAACTAAGCAATATCCATCTTAAATAATGATATGAATAATAAGTGTATCTATGGTTAGTATCATGAAGTGGTATGTATCATGTTTTCTTTACATGCCTTAATGAGTGTATGTCCAAAAAGAATTCAGGTATTTTTGTAACAGGCTAAACAGAAATAGAAACTACCAGAGAAAGAAACTGAAAACAAAATACAGCAAAAAACAAAGGTTATGTACTTCAATTACAGTAGACCGCAGTGATTCTTCAGCAAGTGCTCGTACATAGGCAGGCTGGCAGTCTTCAGCTGAAGTAGCCTATTGAAAACAAATTAAAAGATTTTCAGGTTTGTCCAGCAACAACCAGAGTGACTTCTCTGGAACTTTGGCAAGTCACCTTAGCTCTGGATTTGACGTTTCTGGAAAGTTATGTAGATGAATATTATTTGGATCTTGGAGATCCTCATTGGAGAGCAGAGAGAATGTTTACAGAAGAAACTTATCTCATACTTTGCTATTTTTTTTATAACCATTGTCGGGAATAAAAATGCATGCTAGTGCTTCAGGAGAAAAAAAAAAAGGCTAAATACATTTTGAAAAGGAGGAACAGGCACTATGAGCGAGAAGGAAGATACTTGTAGAGTGATTTAATCTGTCTGTGAATCATTATCCCAGCTGTAAAATTGGAGTAAGAGCAGTATAATGCTTCCCTTTTTTACATTTCTTTGTTCTGTCACTTTTGAAGATATTTTTTAAAAAGAACCTGGTCTTTATCTGTGGCATTGAAAAGTTTCCTATTAGAGTACACGTTCTTCAATGCTGTTCTACCACTAGCTGTCTGCTCTTGAACTAGTTTGCTGAGTGCTCAGGGAATACAAGACCAGTTCTAAACAGATTTGTCTATCTTACTATGACAGGAAAGATTTTTCTCCACTTCTTTGGAGCTCTGATTAAAAGTAGTGTATGTTTGACTTTTAGGCTACTCATTTGTGAAACGATTGGTTAAAAGTTGATTTAGAAAAAAAAATGGTAAGCTGCAAAATGTGCAAAACGAAGTGAGCAGGCAAAGGTGTTGCAAAGGCTTGTCAGTCAAGTTCATTTTCTACATCTCAAAAATAGCCTAATTTGTCTGCTGATTGCTTACAGAATTTTGCCAAGATAGTGTATTTTATTGGAAAAATTATTTTCTTTAAGTTATAGAAATTACACATCTTTAGAGTAGGGGGAAAAAAAAACCTCTCCACCTAGACTATCTATTCAGAGTATGCAAAATTGTTAGTGGATGTAAGAGTTTTTACTAAAGGCTACAAGGAAAGAATGCTGTTATGATGAATGTATTTCATTTTGACAGAGTGGGAAATTAGTCTCCATACATTCTTTGCCAGCTTCTTCATTCATTTGCATTTCTTTCTTTACTGAAAGTAGCATAGTATCAATTAGTTGTTATTTTAACACTGGGTGTAGAGCTCTTAGATGAGGTGTTCAATCAGGTCATGCCAGTGCACCTAATATTAAATTTACATGGGGCTACTATAGTAAAGATAGTTTATTATTACATTTTTTTATTACTCTAGCCATTAGAATAAGCAGGAATACTGTGAGGACTATTTCATGTCTGTGTGGCATCCTTTAAATGCAGAAGTAATGTAACGTCACCAGATTGTTGATAAATTATTAAAACTATCTCTTCTATCTAGCATCTCTGAATATACTGCAGCTTTTCCAGCTTACAAAAGCATCAATATCTTCATTCTCTGTGTGCTAAAGAACAATTCGCTTCTCACCTTCCTGTATCAGGAAGCACTTTTGTGCTTTTTTAGTGCTCATTTTTATTAGTGAGCACTTTTGCTGAGCATATAAAGCAGAGTGGCTAGAAGAGGAACACTGAAAATCGCATGTGCTAAAAAACAATTCACTTCTCACCTTCCTGTATCAGACCTTAGTGAGCACTTTTGCTGAGCATATAAAGCAGAGTGGCTAGAAGAGGAACACTGAAAATCGCATATGTTGTCTTTGCCTTGAATTCCCTGGGCTGATTTTCCTGGACAGAGTAAGCAGAAGTAGGAATCCCACCCAGTGCTCTTTGCAAAGCCACAGAGCTTCTGCGCAGATGTTACCGGTGACTAACGCAGAATGTGCATCCCATTAGATAGTCCTGTTCCTGAGAGGCTAGGTAGGTAAAAAGAATCATGCAGAGACAGCTCTGTAACTTTATAAGTTAATCTCCCTGCAGCCTTACTGCCACAGGGCAGGCCAGTAGAAATACATTCATCCACCCTTCCCTTCTTGCATCACAAATCTATGCTAGTTTTGGGGTCTTGCACAGGAATGTTACAAACATGTAGCAGAGCTAAAGGTTTAGACACGAAGATGAACACATGAGTAAACCCACTGGTTGTGATAGGTCTCACCGTGTTTCACTGACCTAAGATTAAAGGAGAAAAAGATGTGGGAGAGACAAATGAAGATATCGGGGAAAAGTGCAGTTGTCCTGACCATCTGAATAAATATTCCTTAATCAGCTAAGTGTACAGCAGAGGGAAATTGGTGTTGTCTCAGGAGAATAAAAATGCGGTATTTGTACTGAAGTACCATTCAATGACTTTTAATATGCAGCATCTCCCTGAGAAGCAAAGCAGGAACAAGATTTCTACTAATAACACAGATATGGTGATGAGGGTCACATAAATACCTCACCAGTGATGGATCTCCCTATGCCACTGTAGAAATCCCCTGTTTAATATTTCTATTGGGTGCAGAGCTAAATGCAATTCAGGACTCTAGCACTGTTAAGCAATAATTCAGGGCTGCATTTTAGGAAAATTAAATGGTTTCTGGGTTTAGCCTAGTTTCTTAAGGCAAAGATGTTTATTTGATCCATCTGTGTCCTCCTACGTTTTATATGTCCTTGCCAATAGGTTTTGAATTTTGTGGTCAGTCAGAGAAATTTCACAGATTGCCTAATACTACGTCCATCATGTTCTATGAAAATAGGTGGCCAGACAGAGATGAGACCCTAACAATGTCCTCAGTGGGAGCTCACCCCGTACTAGACACCAGGGAGTCCATATGAAGGGGTAATTTATGAAAATCCCAATTATGGGAGAAGATTCAATAGGTGATTGCAGTTTGTTAGATATCGGGGAAGCCAGTCATAAGACAAAAGGAAACTAGGGTTCATTAGTTTTGCTAATCACAGAACAATGTGGGTTTTAATTACCAGAGATATCTGCAATGTTAAAATTTGCAATACAGACAGACACAAGCATTTCTGTGTCTGAACGATGGCACAGTGAGGCGGAGTAAAAGCTGTGCATGCCATTTTTAGTGACTGATTTGCCTTGACAATAATAATACCATTTAAAGCACTTTATACTTCCAAAGCCCATTACCACCACTAATTAATTCTTAGAACACCCCTGAGGGGTGCCAGTTGGGAGATAAGTTGTAGTATCACTGTTTTAATGCTGGAAACGCTGAGACAGATCACTGAGCAGTGATAGTGCTTGGAATAGAATTCAAGTAAGAACTCTTAATCTAGTGTCAAACTAAGACCTTGCTGAAGATGAAAATTTGCTGCTACACTTTAAAGCTATATTTAAAGATAACCAAAGATCTGTAATATTTAAAATATTTTTGTAGTATTACTGAATGGATATTAAAAAAAACCGGTTAGTACGGATGCGTGAGTATGACATGGCTTATAACGGATGCCAGGTCCGTACTAGCCATTAAATGTCGTCAGAAAGTTTTTCACTAGCACAGACTTCAGCAGTCAATGTTAGGATATTCCAATGAAGTAATCAAAAGCCAACACTGACCAATAGTAAACAGTCCTCATTGTGGCTTATAGGAATAAGCAGCAGTAGAGTTTCTTTTCCATTTCTGTGCAAATATATGCAGGATGGAGCTGGAAGTAAAAAATTTTATCCACTGGGAACTCTGCAGATTGCAGGTGAAGCCACCTCACTCTGTCATACATCCAGTAGCTTCTCAAATCCACTCAACTCATGAGGGGTTAGAAAGCCACTTAAATTTGCAAGGAATTTTTTAGTATATGGCAGTCTGTCCCTACTTCTCCTTACCAGGGAATTGGAGGTCTTGGAGAAAAGTAATATATTATTTCAAGAAAGCAGCTACTTATTTCCCTAGGTTTTTCTGATTGCCTGTCTTGTCTTGCTGTCATGTTTGTGTATACTTGTTGGGTTTTTTTCAAAAACTTCCTGCCACATACTGGAAATATTCTTTAAGATTTTCTCACTTTTTTGTATTATAACATTCTAGGCCATTACTTTTGTGGTCTACTGTATGTACTACATAGCATTCCTAAATGAATAAACCTGATCTAACTGTATCTTTCCTAAGATATTTGTTAACTAATAGCATCGAGAAGTACACATTGTAAATTAATTAATAATTTTAATAAGGAGTTCATGACATTCCTAAATACAATCCATATGTATATATAATTCAGTCCAGTTAATATCTTTACTTTCTCTTACATATAGTCGTTGTAGTCCCTGGCAATGTGGTATGGCCTCTTATTCCACTGAATGTTGCAGGTTTTGTATTCTGTCACGTTATGCAACTAGTTAAGCAAGCGTACAGAAATCAAGGACAATGAATTAGCAGTACAAATGTATGTAGCTTATGTATCACTCACATTTTGTATTTTATTATTATTTTTACAGTGAATGCCATAACTCTACAGATAGAATAAAAGTGAGAGTATGGGATGAAGATGATGACATCAAATCTAGAGTGAAACAACACTTCAAAAAGGAATCAGATGACTTCCTCGGGCAAACAATCATTGAAGTAAGAACACTGAGTGGAGAAATGGATGTATGGTATAATTTAGGTATGATTCTTACTGATTTTTTTTTTTTTTTAAAAGGTAGAATCTCAGCATCTGTAGATTTGGGACTTCAAAATATATAGCTTTGGTACTAATATACAACTTTTAAAATCTTAAATATTACAGGTTGATTTGAAAATGAAAGATACTTTCTTGGTTTTGATCCAGACTTACAACAATTACAGGGAGCAGACTAATCACAATATCAAAGAAACGTATTTCATTTTAATGCAAAATTTGAAATATGTAAGAAAACGCAACGTTTCAGACTAGTCCATTCACAGTAGCGTTCTGTGGGAAATACACCTACAAAGATACATAGGAAAATCTAGCAAATATTTTGCTTGTTGTCCACATTCATTTTATCACATATTTAAATCATTTATGTACCCTTCTGGGCCTAATCATCGTTGTTTTTCACTGTGTTTACACCTGTGGTTCTTCATGAAACTTGCTTGCTTGAGTTTTCTGTTCTGTACATGTCAAATGCATTTACATGCAGAGTCATAAACTGGAGACAGCCTGCTGAAGCTCAAAATGCTCTCTGTTGTCCTTAATGACTGCACTCTCTTGTCTGGACAGGTCTTAAGAAGTATCATTCTTTAAACCAGAAATAAATCAATGAAAGTGTGTCTCAGAATATATTTCCTTTATCTAAACCTAAGCATACAACTGTTCTTTAATTCTAAAAACCTCTTTGGGTGCACTGAATGTTCTGGAATAGCCCTTTAAAAGTTAATCTCCTATATTTGATAATAAAAATGTGATAGTAACATTTTTGTCTAAGTTGCCTGCTCTGTGAAAACTTCAGGTGAATTATGTGACATAATTTTCTGAAATTGTAGAGCATTTGTTTCCTAATCAACAGTCCTTATTTCCCTGTCTAATGTTTCATTTCCCAGTGACACATACAGATGTGTCAGGGAACTATTTGATTTCTTATTGACGAAGAAAAAGAAAGCCTTGCTTTATTACCTATTTATAATGACATTTTTTAAAGGTAAGATAATTGGGTCATTATGGATTCTGAATTTTATTCCTTCAAAAAATTCAGTGACTTAAACTGATATAAATTATTATGGAATGGATTTTTAAAACAAATCTGGAAGCAGTTTAATAACAACATTGAAAATCTATGTGCTCTGCAAAAGGAATAATCTAGAATGAAAAACTTTCAATCAGCATCTTAAAAGAAATATTGGTAAATGGCTCATGGTAATTCTAATATTCTAAAAAGAATGGTGTATTTTATTCTGATACATACACACATTGACACAACTGCAGTATGTCACATCATACTCTCTCACATCAAAGAGGAGTGAAATACTCAAAACAAGTGGATATGTGGAATACCTATTGTAATTGTAATACCTATTGACTCAGTTATACTGCTAGAGTGGATTGGAAAAGTGAAAATTGGAGTCAAATCAGTAACCTCCACATGACAGCAACTGAACGGACTAGTACAGATAGCATACACAAAGTTCTTCATATCAATTCTTCTGTAAGATTCAGCTTAGCTCTGTAATTGAGTTCTGCTAAGAACATTTTGAGTTTCTCTCAGACATAGTAGTTCAGGTTGTTGCTAAAGTCTTCATAACTAAAGGAAAATATCAATAATGAAAATAATAATTAGTAGAGATACCAGATAGAAGATGGAAATAATTTCTATTGAAAGGGAAAAGTGTTAAATCAAGCGCTGTGCAGCCTGGTTTGAATTTGGCAGATAAAATAAAAAAGATTCTTTACTTCATAGTTGTTTGGTTCAGGCCATGAAGAATAATATATGTGAGGTATTAAAAAAAAATTCTCTTGTTCTCAATACAGGACTTTTTGGCTTTATAAAATGTTCTTAAGCTAGAATGATTTATGAAAGGTTTTCACATGACATATATGTGTTCTTGGTAGTTACTAATATATTTTTTTTCTGCTCTTCAGAAAAGCGAACAGATAAATCAGCTGTCTCTGGTGCCATTAGGTTGAAAATCAATGTTGAAATAAAAGGAGAGGAGAAAGTTGCTCCTTACCATGTGCAGTACACCTGTCTACATGAGGTATGTTGGAGAAGTTAAAGAAAGCATACTATGCAGAAATTACTATTCAGTTGTTGCATGGATAAGGAAAAAAGGCTACAGAACATTAGAACACCGAAACAAATAACTGCTGCTACGCCTCAGGACAAGTTTATTGTAGATCTCCCACTTTGTATTGCTGGTGGCATATCGGGTTCAGAGTCAGAGGCAGACCAATGTAATGCCAACAGATCATTCCTGCCAGTAGAGTTAAAAAAAAGAAGAGGTGGAGTCAGCCAAGTTCTCCCTGTATTGAATTTTCGTTTTAGCATTTTGATGCTTCATACATGCTTGCTAACATCAAGAAGATACAATCATTTCTATATATTACAGAAATATAGCTATTAATTGTAAAGGACTTCTTTCCTGCTACATTAATTCATATTCTGGAGAGAGTGCGAAAAAACAGGAGAAGCACAGACAATACAAAATCTGGTTCTCCTATTGTCTAGATAGCTTTTGTCAATGTTGAAGAAAAATCATCACTGATAAACCAGTGTGTCTTTCAAAAGATTTTCTTTGTATTTGATTCCTCTTCCCTCAAACAGTGATCCACATTGAAGTTCTATTCTAAAAATACAAGTACTTTCTGAAAGCTGACAGATAATATATGGCTGAAAGTTCAGCACTAGTATGTATCCACAAAATCCCATTTTTCACCATTTGTAAAATTGAACGTTCAGGCTCATAGATTTTGACCTGATGTTGCAAATGTTTTGACCTGTGAAGTAAATGGCAAAATTCTGTGGCTTTAAGATAATCCACAAGACAGTTATAGGCTAATTAGCAAAACTGAAATTATTTCAAACTTTTGGAGTTTTTTTGGTCACTGAAAATAGGAAATTAAACTTGTTGCTGAGTTTGTGGATACATATGGAGCTAGGTAATCTGAGAATCGTTCTATGACAATAACGTCGAATTAAATACTAGCTTTGGTCCTAAGGTTACTAACCCTAAACTTTATTGCATGCCTTTCACTACTTGAGAGGCTTCTGCAATATTTCTGACAGGTTTCCTGTAACTTATAGTTCTTAAATAATGAATTTGAAATTTATTGGTCACAGATGCACTTAAAGTTGAAGCACTATGTAGTGAGCATTATAACATGACGACTTCATTCATTAGCAAGGGTATATGATAGAGAAGAGAAGAGAGAGTTTCTGCACCATTTTATGTTGCAGTCTGTCTGTGCCAGTTAACTGATGTGACCTTATATCAAGGAGATAGATCAATGTACTGAATCACAAGCCTGCACTACCAGAGTTCCATTACAAAAAATGTGTTTAGTCTCTTGGGTTTTTTTGTTTACCGAATGATGACTAGTTAGTGCCAGTGTTCAGAAAAATAAATAAATAACCTAACAATGAACATATTGATGACTATTGCATAGGATATACTTTCAGATTGCCACTTAAAAGCCAAAAATTCCTATTTGAAACATTTCTTACATTTAGAATCTATTCCATTATTTGACGGAAGTTAAATCTAATGGTGTTGTAAAAATCCCTGAAGTGAGAGGTGATGAAGCCTGGAAGGTGTACTTTGATGATGCTGCACAAGAAATTGTAGATGAATTTGCAATACGCTATGGAATTGAATATATTTATCAAGCTATGACGTAAGTAGTATTATGTCTGGTTTTCTACTCCGCTGTCAAGAATGTGTTTGAGGGAAGTGATGAGTTCCAAGCCTTCATGCTTTCGTTCTCCATTTCACTCCTGTTCCTGATTTAAAATTCTTGTTACCATTTTTGACCGTCTGATTCTCATTGAAGTGCTTCTCATCTGCAATGGAATTAAGATATATTACAAGCATTTTATAAACTGTTACTGGTATTACCACTAATGCATTCCTTAATCCTTATGATACTGACACGTGGCAAGGATCAGAATGACTTCCACTGTTCCAGATGGGATTGGAATGGTAGAACAGGGTTTCACAAGCTCTGTACTCCTTTGCAGGAGTACAGAAATCATCATAGAACACCAGCAATGGCTACAGTAAACTTCCATAGTATACGTAAATAATTCATGCAAACCGTTTTTAACGGTATTAGGACCTGTTACTACATTGTCCGTACTAAAGTAACTGTCTGATCACTTTAGAACACAGCGCCACTGAGCTTAGAGGCCTGGGGATACAAGAGCTCCATCATGTATTCTTCATTTGTCCAGTGAAAAGTTTGCCAGTGAAAAGGACTATATTCTGCTCCTACTGCAGCCGTAGGAAAGCAGAGGACTCCAAATAAGTCCTCTAAAGAAGAAATATAGAAAATTTTTCCTATAGAAAGCTGATATTATGGAATTTTCAATCAGAACATGTATCTTGTTTCCTCCATCTCTTTACAGTACATCCTAAAAAAATTATAATAAGTATGAAGGCACGTAAACATGTGAAGTTGTCTTTTTATTGCAGGGTATAATGGCACCATCTGCTATTGCAATGAACATGTCTTTCACTTTATGTAGCTCATTGTGAATTATTGTACTGTACATCTAATAGAAAGGTAGAGGATGTATTTGTAATATATACGTTTTTAATGCTCTTCCTCCAAAGGCCTTAAACAACATTGCACAGAAGAATTAATTAAGCTTGGCAGTTCCCCTGTGGTGATGTGTATCTATACTACATAGAGAGGAACTCATGCATTGAGTTTCACGAATATTTGGGTTTTCATGTTTAGCTTCTCTTTAGCCATGTACGTCTCTACATCTTGATTAAGTTAATAAGTAACATAACTAGGATAGTATTATAGTTTTATAACTTGATTTAAATTTTACCAAAATGTTAATCTCTAAAATGATAGAGTTGTTCCTGCTGTATGTATCAAAATGAATTCAAGGTTTTATTAGATGAATTCTTAAGAGCTATTAATGCCAAGGGAGGGCTGTTGTTACTGTTTTGCTTAGGAAATAAAACAGGACTGATTTAGCATTAGTGTTTCCTCTTAACTATAGCCCCAGTAGTTGGTTATCTCAATACAACATGACTGTATTTTTGATGGACAACCTCAACTGAAAAATTATTTTGAAGTTTCTTTTCCTTCATCTCTTGAGAATGCCAGTACTCTGAAATCTTCTAGAGAAAGTTTGAAACTGACTTTAGAAATTCAAATGTAGCAAAAGTCAGCATTGCAAAAATAGCAATATAATTGACGTGAGTATTTAAAAAGCTTTTTCATTTAACAGTGTTAGAAATGGACAGGTTATATTTTCATATAAAGAAGATGCTTTATTTTTATATCAGTGAATAACATAACATACAGATATTCATAAAAAGGAAGTAAATTCAGTCTGAACATCTAACATGGAGCAGGGCAAGTACTGCAACCCATTTTTCAGGAATCCTTACTCAAAAATTCTAACCAAGCCATTTTAAGTTAAACGACCTACTTTGGCTTGTCCTCTTTTTGTTCTTGCTTTCTTCTGTACCTTTTCCACCAAATTTCCTTGCTGTTGATGACTGCAGACCAGGCATTTGACAGCAAGTGTAATGAGAAAGTGAATTAGATATTGGTAGTCACAGGTAATTTACATAGGAAATAAAATCTAAGATTTCATTGCCCCCTTACCATGTCCACTTACATTTTAAAATGTTGCATGTTAATAATGAACAATCCCTATTTGCGGGGTAGGCCACATACTGTTTAAGGCCACATCCTGTTTAAGTTAGGAATAAAATCAATAGTGAATGTAATCTCAAATAATACTTGGAGAAGAATAAATATTCATATACCTTGTTTTGCTGATTCGTCTGCAGACATGTCTCTCAGTAAGAGCATTCAGACTTTGGGGAGAAGAGTAGTGAAGACACTAGATCCGTCACTGGGAATTTTCTTTTGGACTATTATCTGTTGTTTTTATTTGCGTTTATGAGATCACCTTTTTCTCCTGGAACAACTTTAATGGCTGGGAGAAAATGTACAGCTTCTTGATTTGGAAAATAGAATTATCAGATTCCATTTGGTAACTATATGCTCCTACTAAAAGAAAAGCAATTTTCTACCATACAACAGAGAGAGAATTTGAATGTAATCACTTAGCCCAAAGGAATATTGTGTAAGCATTTTATGCTCGAGAATCTAGTTGCAGAATATTTCTATTGCATGTCTCATGATAACATTGTAAATTAAAATGTCTGCATTTGTAAATGCAAAACTGACTATGCTTTCACAGCCCATGATCCAGACCCCAGGGAGCATCCACATGCTTCTTATGCACTGTATCAGACTCAAGTGAGTTTTAGGGTGTTGCTAATGAGGTGCTCTTTTTGTCTGAATGTAATTTTTAAAATCCATATTTGTTTGCAGTTTTAAAATTACCTATTTTATAAAGGTTCAGTGCCACTTAATGATAGGCAGTCTTGACCCTTTTAGGTGTGGGTAGACAGCATATGCTGGAGTAGGAACATATGCCATTCTGCATTTCTGGACACAACATAAATCTAATTAAGCCTCCCTAAAGTACCACTTCGTAGCAGAACAGGATGCCAAATTGTTCTACGGTAATAAACAACCCCACTTGTCTATCACTTCAGGTTCATGCTGGTGGCTTTGTCATCTGTGATCCTCCTACTAGACCCTGATGATTTGTTTCTGGCTCTCAAATTAATATTTATTTATATTTATTCCTTTAAAGCACAGAAATAACATTTCAAAAAGATAGCCTTGATTTTCCAAATACACTGAGTATACTCGTCAACCACAATTGTGGCAGCTCAGCAAAGATAAACAAGAATTTAGATCAGTTTATTGTTTCAGTGCCTGACTGCTTCATGGAAAATCAGTCTAATAGGTGACCAACTAAAAGTCCTGAAAAACATAAAGCTCAAGCTCTTTTCCTCTCTCAACCAGCATCAGCAAAGAAATTCTGCATTTTCTGCAATTTAAAATGTCATGTGTGAGTCAGTGTTTGATTCTAGATCAGAAGGAGATCACCTGTGCACCACCAAAGACTTAATGGAATGTGGATATCAACCCAAAAGATATCACATAGATGGTTACTTATCTGCCTTAGTCATTGTCCCCAGTGGGACCTCTTTCATTAAACTTATAAAGAGAATAAATTCAAGTGTGGTTGCACCTGTTGTTGGAGACACACATCCACATTTTTATGAGACTAAATATAGACAGTTCTTCCCTAAAGGAAGCCCACTTAGAAGGGCTGTCTTACTCTCAAGATACAGATTCCAGCTGCCCATTTCCTAAGCAAGGAAATCTGCTTTTAAGTTACCAGATGTGGAATTCACATGAATAGAAAAATCAATCATTGACCCAAACCCAAAATACGACAAAAAGCCTGCTGGTGTTGCAGTAACTGCAGCTCTTTGAAAAGTCTTGACTGTATAGATTCCATAATCCACTCTTCTTTCTTATAATTGTTATATTCCTCCACTCCTCATGGAGTCTGTATTGGGAAAAGAAATGAAAGACAATTACAGCCATTCTTATATGGGTCAGAAGAGATTTTTTTTTTGTGATGGATAGCAGCCAAACAGACAGTGTTATCTACACAAATGATATGCGTATACTCCCAGAAGTCAGAGCACCTGTGTGTGAGAGAATAGGAAAGAAGATAGATATGACACAAAACAGATTAACAAAAGGAGAACAGCTCAGTGACCCAGCGGGCCTTTATTTTGATGACTACAGTGATGGATGGTGATTTATGCTGTAAATTCAGTGTCTTGAAGGAATCGTACTGGAAGTTTATTTACCTACATGTATTAAGCCACCTCTCCACCACCAAGAAAAAATAATTTTCTTCCTCTCATTCATCTTTCAACATAATTTATTTCTCTTTAGAAAGCAAAAAGCAGAGCATGTATTGAAGCAGTCTTTGACTAGACACTGAAATTATACATAACGTCAGCATCCTGGATTTACTGTGTAGTGGAGTCAAGTGCAATAAAAGCTCTGTTAAGATGTTTGCTTCTTACTGTCAAGAGTCACCACAGGTAGAACCTAATGCTTCTAAATCAGCGACATTGTTCTCATTCCAGCAGGTTAATGGGCGTTAACTATGCTATCTTCTTCTCCTGCTAGTCTTCAATTAATGTGACTGCATTGCAAAAAGCACACAAATCACCCATTAAAGTAATTTTCATTGATAGCATTTGCTTACTGAGTGCAGCACGTTAATTAGCCTTCTTTCTTTGCTGATTCACGCTAGCAGAAAGATTGGAAGAGTCACAGGCACTGCGTGTTGGTCAGGAAATTGCACATTAAGAAAGTTGAAGCAAGCAGGCCTGGTTTTAGACATGTGACTCTAGCTTAAACAATGCATTACTCTAAAATACGTGAGACTTAGCAATGGTTGCTGTGACATCATGTGCCCATTAGAAATTGTTAATAACTCATGCTATTGGCTGCTGTTTTCAGAGACCTACAAAAACAAGGAAGTAAGTTTCCTCTTTGATTTATTTATTTTAGCAAGCAGAAGGAAGCCAGGTGGCTTGCAGTTTTCTTACCTGGGTTATCAGCACTCTCAGAGTCATGACCGATGTTGCATGTGATAAACTTAATAGATTCTGTGAACTTTACAAATTTTAATTACATGAAGGAGAGAAGTGAAAATTCACATAACCTGTCACTTGACACAGATGCTTCATCATTGATTT